AGGAATATTTTGATAGCCAAACGTGACGTGCTGGCGAGACTCATCAGCATACGCCTCAGCAATTCGGACTCCATTTCCCGCAGACAGATCACGCTGCACAGAAACCGTTGAAAGATGGTGCCAAAGGTGGACGGAAACAAAGGGATTTCTGGGATGTGAAGCGATGCATCACGGGGCATTGGGACAGGACCCAGAATCCCCCACATCCACGCCCCCTTCTCACAACCCACGGCTCCAGAATGGAAAAAGGTGCTCTGTGGGATAGCTGCCCATAATGCACCGCTCCCAATAGCGCTGCAATTGCCGCAAATGTGGCCACGATAGTGTGCTGGGTAGCTGTCAGTGTGGACAGACTGCAGCGCTCTCCCTACTCAGCTACACGAAGTCAGGTTTAACTCACAGTGCTGTACATCTGCAAGTGTAGGCAAGGCCTAAATTCTGGGACTGCCTTGGTTAGAAAATCTCTCTTCTGCTTGTTCTTATAAATGTTGAATTTAGCCTGGTTATTCACTACCAAGGTGGCTTCCTGATTATTTTCTAGCCATTGCCTTCCCCTGGGACAATTAGGGTACATTTTCAAAGGCAGTTGTAACAATTTCATGGCTTCATAGACTTCATAGTGCTCCTGTATATTCTGCACACCATGGTCACATATGCTTTATGGCTGTCATTGGGCATAGAATTCAGTTAACAAAATACAGCCACTTGACCTATAGAAGCATCTACATTGGCTGTAGGGGTCTTAAGGCTCATAGCTTCAGTAAGATGCAGCCCATAGAAGAAACATTAATCATACAAACTTAAGATCAGATATTCTATCAAGCAAACAGTAATGGTGCACATGCATAGTGACAAGCCACTATATATTAGAAGGTTCACAGGATGTACTATATGTGCACAGAGCCCCACTATTGAAACATGATGTTGTGTAATGTGTTAAAAATATAATTTGGAGGAATACTACGGCAGACACACGTTTCTGGTTTTGTGTGTGTGTTTCTATAGTATGTAAAATGTGATAATCACACACATCCCTGATGTATACTCCACCTAATTTTGGGCCTGACCCTCAAAGTGTTTTTATCCCTAGACGTAGTAGCTTCATGAATAGTCTGAGTCTCACAATATGACAAACTTTTATATTTGAACATCCATATACTTTTGGGGAACTGCCCTGTATGATTGTCCCAAACATTTGCTGTGTTGTTGTTTTTTTTCCCCTAGTGATTGCATATGGTCTTAAAGAAAGCAGTATTGTGTAGCTATGTGAATCCTGGTACCTTCATATTTTTAAAGCCAGTTTAGTTTTGCTGCTACAATAATTCACAATCAGTAGAATAAAAAGGAAGTAAACTCACTTTCAACTTTCACACATTACTGCAGTGAAAATATCTATTGACTGTCTTCTATTTTTCAGTTGTTGTGGGCAAAGATAGAGGAGTAGAGTTAAAGTAGTTTGAGTGACCTTAGCTGTGTATTTCCATACATAGAATCGTAGTAATGTAGGGGTGGAAGGGACCTTGAGAAGTCATCAAGTCCAATCCACTGTGCTGGGGCAGGACCAAGTAAACCTAAGCCAACCCTGACAGGGTTTTGTCTTAACTTGTTTTTAAAAACCTCCAGTGATGATAAAAACCTCCACAGCCTTCCTTGGTAGCCTATTCCAGTGCTTAACTACCCGTACAGTTAGAAAGTTTTTCCTCAAAAACAATGATATTTCCTAATATCTAACCTAAATCTCCCTTGCTACAGATTAATCCCATTTCTTCTTGTCTTACCTTCAGTGGACATGAAGAACAATTGATCACCATCTTCTTTATAACAGCCTTTAACATATTTGAAGACTATCAGGTTCCCCCCTCACAGTCTTCTGTTGTCAAGACTGAAAATACCCAGTTTTTTAACCTTTCCTCATAGGTCAGATTTTCCAAACCTTTTATTATTTTTGTTGTTCTCTTCTGGACTCTCTCCAATTTGTCCACATCCTGCCTAAAGTGTAGCACACAGAATGGGACATAGTACTCCAACTAAGGCCTCACTAGTGCTGATTGGAGTGGGACAATTACCTCCCTTGTCTTACATACAATACTTTTTTTAATGCACCCTAGAACAATATCAGCCTTTTTCATAGTTGCATCACATTGTTTATATTGAATTTGTGATCCACTATACTCCCCAGATACTTGTCAGCATTTAGCCAATTATTCCCCATTTTTAGTTGTGCATTTGATTTTTTTTCTTCCTATATTTAATACTTTGCACTTGTTTTTATTGAATTTCATCTTGTTGAATTCAGATCAATTCTCCAATTTGTCACGGTCATTTTGAATTCTAATCCTGTCCTCCAGAGTGCTAGCAACTTTGTCCAGCTCAGTGCCATCTCCAGATTTTATAAGTATACTCTCCACTCCATTATCCAAGTCATTAATGATAATATTGAATAGTACCAGACCCAGGACAGCTGCAGGACCCCATTCGATACCCCCTCCCAGTTTAACAGCGAACCATTGATAACTACTCTTTGAGTATAGTCTTTCAACCAGTTGTGCACCTATCTTATATTAATTTCATCTAGACCACATTTCCCTAGTTTGCTTATGAAAATTTCATATGGGACTGTGTCAAAAGGCTTACTAAAATCAAGATATGTCACATTGACTGCTTCCCCCATTCCCTACGCCAGTAACCCTGCCAAAGAACATTGTAATGTCTATACGTAAGATCAAACTTGAATTTCCAAGATTTCTAATGTTTCTATTTTTTTGAGAAAACTACAGTGTTCTGAAATGTTTCTCTCCCATAGTTTATTGACAGGCATTCTTCCAGCTTTACTCCAGATTAACTTAATTTTTTGCTTGGAGTTTCTGTGTATTTTGAATATATTTGGTGAGAGTGCTCGTACTACTTTGGTGTCAATTACAGTCCATTACATTTCTAAAAGGTGTATATATTGGTTATTGCTTCAGTTAACTGATAAACTTTAAAAGCAAAACAACATGAGTAACAGCACTGCAGCATCATGTTTAAAATACAAAAGCTTTATTATAAAAAGTCTACTCCAGACATCATAAGGCATACATGGCCTAGCAGCAAAGACACGAGCCTTAGGAGGACTAAAATCATGACATTGCTGCCATCATGGCAAATCCCCTAAACAATTGCACTGCAGATTTGTGGCTTGCCAAAGTGCAGTTCAGTAAAGTTCTACTGCAGTACTTTCCAATTTATAGTAGTAATATAATGTCTTGTAGAATATTTAATAGTCATGTTCATATGCTTTTAGGTATTTATTGCGATGCTAAGGCCTAGTTTGGAGAAATGTTTCACGATGACATTCTGTAGTGGAATCCCATCAATGCCTCTTAAACCCTAAAACTGTGGACTTTTCTAGCCTTGCAGCAGAAACCCACGAGTACCTTGGTGCCAGCTTCCGGTTTGTTGACAACGTACTGGGAACATGCTAGGGGGAAGATTCTCAGAAAATGGAGCTCTGTACCAGCAATGAGAGCAGTTGCTGGTACTTGAAGTTGCAAGCAACTAGAAGAGCATGAAGCAGGCCTATTTGCAATGGTAGATGATGAGAGCCCTGCATGGATACAAAATTTGTATCCACACACTCAATCCACAAAAATGGTCCACAGATATAAAGCAGATATCTGCAGATTTGCAGGGATCTATAGGTGACTTCCAGGCAGGAACAGGGAATGCGTAGATGTCAAGAAATGGTCACAGAGAAGAGGGTTTGTGGAAAGGCATTGGGGGACTAAAAGGTCTCTTTGTTTTGTGGCACCAGTGAACACACTACAGATAGCTTGAGTTAGCAGCTTACTCAAGGTCTTGCCTCTATTCCCAGTCACGCCGTGCAACTTGTATAGTTACAACAACTGCACATGACTGATGCATTTGTGTGTGGACAGGGGTCAAGTTCATGAGAACACTCAAACTGTACATCATATTAACTCACTAGTGAAGATAAGTAGAGGCCTGCAAATCTGCGGATATCCGCTTTATATTGCCTGGCCATGTTTGCAGATCGCAGATCATATGCGGATACAAATTTTGTGTCCGCACAGGGCTCTAAGGATAAGCACTTGGATTGGGTGTGGGTGATGCTTCATAACCACAAGCAATTGGCAGTCTCTGTTCTTAGGGGACTTCCATGTTTATTAAACATTGTGACACATTACTGGCTGATTAATGTGAGGAAATATATTCTATTGAATAATTGAATCTACCTGTAAGCATTTCAGAAGCAACTATCATTGTATTAACTAATGACTACTGGAATACACTGCCTTTGCCTTTAAACCAGTGATTTCACTCTTTCCACTTTTAATAAACTGAAATTCACCAGTGAAAACTCTCAAAATAAATCTTGCCCTCCACCACCTCAGACAGCTAATGTAACCCTACTGAAGAGAGAAAAAGCTCTTGTTTAATAATAAAAAAAAACCTCTATGAAGGGCATTTACTCATTTTGCCTTCTTAAATATGAGATACTGTCATCTTACTTATCAAAAAGAGCTTTCTGTAATTCCAGTGTGGTATGGCTGAGACCAAGAGAAATGTTTATTATGCAAAGAGTTGATTAGGTACAAACTACTAGTGTTAAACGGCATAAGGAAGACTATATCAACATGCAAGGTTTTCATTGAGTGGGTTGAGCACGAAAGCATTTATGGCTGTTCCCATGCCCATCCCTTTCAACAGAGCACTTGAGCATAGGTTTAACTGTAAATTGAGGCTTAATGGGACTCCAACACCTCATTAAATGCTTTGCTGAATGCGGATGGATTTAAGGCTGGTTCTCTGGTTTCAGATTGTGCAGGTATTGATTCTTCTTGGTGCTTGGTTCAGCTAAGCCATGTTCCTCAGGCGTCATAAATAACAACGCATTCATTCTCCCTGGTTTTAACCCCCCGTCTTGCTGAGTCACGCGCGCACACACACTCCGGCAATCCCCGGCGGCGCGCTGCAAAGGGACTCTCCCGCCTTGGGAATCGGGGCACGTGATGTTGATTAACCACCCTGCGGGGAGGCTGGGAATGCCGCGCCGCGCCGGGGCTGCGAGCGATCTGTCTGCAGACGCGCCGAGGCGAGGGCCTGGCTCGCAGGTGCTGGGGAGGGACTAGGGAGGAGTCGCCGCTGGGGCTTCCCTGCGCACGTGCGCTGCCGGGATGCAGCTCCAGTGTGAGTATCAGCGGCCTCCCCAACCCCGGGGCTGGCGGGCCCAGCGATCGCTGCTGTGCCTGGAGGGCTGCAGCCTGACGGCCGCGGCTAAGCAGCCCCAGTCCCTGCTGGGGAGAGCGGGTTGGCGAGTCCGGGTGTAGAAAGTACAAGGAGCGGCAGGCGGCTGGCTCTCCTGACTCTGCCCCTTGCACCCCGCAAGTCAGGTTGGAGGGGGGCTGAAGCACGATCCTGCAGAGCTGCATACAGCACAAAGGGGGGCGGGTTGGAAATTGTAGGTCGGTGCCGTGGGGGCGATCTCTTCTTGTAGTGCCTCCCCAAAGAAAGCCGGGACCCTCCTTTGCTGACTCTTAGGCGGGGCTTCTAACTGTCTAATTAGCGTGGGGCCAGATGATCGGATTGGAAAATCTGCTTGACGCTGGTTGATTTAATTCTGTATCTTCGCAAAGGGGTTCATCATCGGCCAGCAGGAAGCTGACATGTTTATCATTTGAGCGATTGAGGAAACAGGGTTAGAGATTGGGAGGAGGGAACAGCAGAGCAGTGCAGTAGATAAACCCTTGGTGACCTGAATTGTGATGACAGGCTGGACTTGTGCAAACGTATTGGGTAAGGGGAGGTGCATTAGCAGCAATCTCTGCCTTGCTCTACAGTAAATCCACAACATTGCTAAGCTTCATCTTTCCTGTGTGGGACCAAGGGTATTTTGATAACACAAAACGTACACAAGGATCCCAGGCTAGATTTCACAATCTAAACAGACAAGACAGATAACAGGTAGGATCAAGGAGGTATTCCTAGCCCCATTTAACAGATGGGGAGCTCAAACTCAGAGATTAAATGATCTTGCCTTGAGTCACATAAGGAATCTGTAGCAGAACTGGAATTGTACCCAGATCTCCTGAGTTCCAGTTCAATGGCTTCTACACAAGATCTCTCAGCGGGGAAGAGAGATGCACTAGCATTGTGTGGTATACCTGTGTTCTGGAGTAATTTGGGCTTCTGGTAGTAAATTTGTAACTTTAATGTATTTGAAAACCAGACCAGATTGCTTAATTTAATTTTTCCCCAATGAAATTGTATGGAAATGGATTGTTGGTTGCCAAGTGCTGAGTCTGCAAGAAGGCATCTTGACTTGCCCTTGAAACATTGGTATCTGTAAATCTGCTACAGCTTCAAAGCTCAAGCTCTTTGCTTGGCAGTGGTTGCTGGAGGAGTTTGGGGGAAACCTGTTGAGGTGATTCAGATGGGTGATTGAAGTATCAGAGTAAGGAGCTATCGCTCTCCAATAAAACTGGATTTGAAATTGTCTTTTAAAAGGGTTTAAGCCTGTTGGATTGAGGAAGAAAGAGGTGGAGGTAAAACTTGTTTTCTTTGTGTTACTGATTGACAGACATCTGTCAGCACGGCACTGACATTGGAGTCCTGTATCAAGGAGCAAAGGACTTGAACTCTGATTAATAAATACGTGTGTAGCTCCATAAATGCCCATGGAACGTTGTGCAACATACAAAAGACACAATCCCCGCTCTGAAGGACTTGCTTCTGTTCCTTAAAGTGTTACTGAGGGCAGAATTTGTCCCTTTATCATCACTTTTGTATGATTGCAAAACTGATCTCCATTCTTGATGTGTTAGTGGTGCATTATAAAAATGAATTCAAGTCATTTGTGTGATTGGCTGAACTACTTCTGATGCTATAATCCTTTCACCAGTTTACTCGTCTCACAGTGGCCTTGAAATCTTAACAGCTACTTCTATTGGCTGCACTTCTTGTATGACTTTTTTACCTGTTCTGGTGTTTCTATATTACTAGTTGTTCTCCCTCTTATTAGACAATATATACGCTGAACAACAGAAGTAATAAAAGGAAAAGAGGGGGATTCTAGGTATTGTTAAAGAGTAGTTTATACTGTGTTGCTAAGATCTGAGATGCTAGATACATTTGATGTAAACTATAACAGTGCCTCATCAGAACCCTTTTAGTATCAGTGCAAGGTCCCTAAGACCTTGTATGACATCACCATGTCAGTTGATGCACATTACTGTTACCTCATCCTTCCTATTGCTATTTGTGCATGTCATCTGTTTATTGTCACAACCTCGATTGTGAGGGACTATCTCTTTACAGCATGTCTGTACAGAGCCTAGAACAATGAGGCCCTACTTGGTACACCACAAACAGTGATAATAGAAATGGTGCAACAATAATTAACAGAGCTTTCTTCCCTCTTACAAAAGAAACAGTTGCTAGTGCTCTGGGTTTGGAGACTGTGACAGACACTAAAGCTAAAATCCTAAGCGTAGAGCCAAGCTCACAAAGGTCAAAAGGCACAGGGCAAAAGAAGGAAATTCTCAATCTGAATTTGCAGTCATGGCAGCTACTACAGGATTTAAGCAGGAGAAGAGAGCCCTGAGGGTGCCTTTTGGGAACAGTGTTTCTGCACAGTTTACAGTTCTATTGCCTATGCTCCTGCCTATCCACCAGCTTCCACAGAGCTTGGCTCTGCAGTGTACAGTGTACAAACTCCTGCAGCCCCTGTTGGAGTTTGGGGAACTCAACTCTTCTGAAAATCAAGCTCATAGAATCCCGCTAGATGGACACTGCCAGTTCTCCCCTTTTCACATCCACCTAGGAATTATGAGGATTTTTCCACTTCGTGGCTGAGCAGAGCTCTGCATTCACCCTAGCATAGTATCTAACTCATTATTATTCACTTTTTGAATACCACATGTGGGGCTTGGAAACTTTGGATAAGTGAGAGGGGTAGAGGGCCATGCTAGATCTGCTGTTGCTGATGTTTTCCCCGGAGGGGACTGGGAAGCCAGGGAGCAGGGATTTTTTTAACATAAGTCTTTATAAAGAGAGAGAATGCTGTTAGACCATGTGATCTGGTCTCAAAGTCCCTTTCTTTGAAAGAACGGTGGAACATAGCATTGCTTATTTGACACAATGGAGTTCTCTTGGACTAGATGCTATGCTGATGAGTGCTGTATAAAAGCCTAGCTGACCAGAATGCTTGATGCAGGAAATGAGCTGCTAAAAGGAGAAAGTTCTTAAACAGTAATGAATAAAAATCTTCTCCATGGTGGGAGAACCACTTATGTTCACACCTCAACAATTTGTTAAAAGGTTATCTTCAGTTGTCTCATTTGTTTTTATGTTGCATCTCTGAATGCTTGTGGTAGAAAGAGTGACAGTCCACAATAGATCTGGTAATGTGCAATAAGAGTTTATTTGATAAGACTTATAGAAAGCTGGCTACGCATGTGTGTTTGTGAAGGTTAGTGGCTATGCTCTGGTGCAGTCATATCACCTGCAGATGCCATGGATACATTACAAAAGTAATTGTTTAAAGATGGCCGTGATAACACTTAATTCAATTCCTCTTCTGTCCATATGGGAAAGGTTTTTTTTGTTTTTTTGGGTTTTTTTTAATTAAAGTTGGAGAACCATGTGTTAGCCTGGTTTCTTCACACATAGAGGCACACACAAAAGAGGCTTATTCACAACTAAATTATACATTGTAGAGCATTAGCTGGCATTTTAACCAACAATTTATCTGTACCTGCTTTGGTCTGAGCACAAGCCTGTTTGAAGATGGCTAATTGCATACTGTAGACAAAACTTAAAATATATGGCTGCAGCATCAGGAGCCACGTGAGATCCCAACAAAGGAGTGGGGGGAGGAAGTTATTGATTGAGCATACTTTTTAAAGAAAACTGTCTCTATCATACAAATCATATATCCTGTCGTCATTCAATCCATACAATGGCCCCGACAGTATCTGTGAATGGACAATACCTGTCACTCTGTAGTGAATGGAAGCTTCAGGCAATACTGGTAACCTGACGCATACACAGTAGGGTTAATTGTGTGATTTAGGCAGCCAATTCTGAAAACTTGGTCTTGTATGTTGTTGAACCTTCCTTCCAATAGCGCTGCTTTGTTTCCAGAGTCACAGAATTGCTTTATCAGTCCATGGAGGAGGGGAGGTTAAAACATGAACAAAACATGAGGAGTTGAATATTTACCATTAAAAATCCTCAATAACAATTCTGCATGAAGCATTATAGTACAGAACCCTCTCCTCAATGCTATGGTGTTCCCTTGGGCTGCCTGTGACCCTCCCACACCACCACTACCTAAGAGAGTAACATTATAACCTAGATTACTTCAACTTCTCAGCATCTTAAATGGAATACCTTTTAAGCAGTCTCATCTCTTGAGGGACAGCTGTTATCTTGTAATCCAACCGCATTTGGATGTGATGAGTATTGCTCAGAAACGTTCTGACTTACGCACTGGCAGTAACATAAAGGTTTCCTTGCTGGAATCCTGCCTAGTCCTGCCCACCTAATCTGCCTTCTTTAGGAGGAACAGCCTAAGGAACCTCCTCAGGACCAGCAGTAGCACACAGTAGCTGTCTGCCTTCTCCCCTGGACCATTCCCGTTTCTCTCCTGATTCAAATGGAGTTCAGGTGTTAAAGTTGGTGAGGTGTATGAGCACACTGGCCCCATGGGTTCTGGTGAGTGCATTATTCTAAAATATTAACAGTCTGCTATTATGGGATGCTTTGGGGTTTTTACATGTAAAACTCCTCATGGCTTTGAATCAAAAAGCATTAATATTGTGGAGCTTTGGACCACTTTGAGAGGCATTACAAGAGCTGCAACTGATCTGTGGAAATAGAGAAAGCAATGCTACAGCATATGGGCAGTGAGACTAAAGAGAAAACTATCTCTAACTTTCTAAGCAGTAGAGCAGATGTTTCAGGGCTCAAGCTCTTCTGTCTGCTAGTGTTTTATTGATCATGGTAGTTGCTGCTGTATATATGCATTATGTTTGTTGATGCCACTCAGCTGAGCAGAAGCAGGAGTTTCATGTTATTGTGGAGTGAGCTATTTCTTCCATGCCCCTGTTTGCTTGATCAGCAGGTTTGCTCTTAGTTTCTCTAGAACAGCCTTTCTGTTAGCCAAGAAAGAAACATCAAAATGAACCCAGTACAACTGAAAAAGTTTTGTCTCTTGGTCCAGGCTAATGCTGTCCTTTCGACAATCACTCCTTATAGAATTGTAAACTACAGGCCAGATCTGAAGTGTGTATAAATCAGCATAGCTCCATTTATACCTGCTGCTGATCTGACGGTGGTTTTTAAAGACATGATAGTGGTTCGTGGGGAAATTTTTTTAAATTACATTTGTTCTTGAAAGATAATCTGCCCCAGCCACTAGCAGTAATCATCTGAGGAATCAAGAATTGTGCAATACTTCTCCTGTCTGGCAAGATAGGAGCTGGTGGGTGTTTATCCTCCACTTTTACCATCCACCACCCACACAGGTAATAATTAATTACACAGGACCAGACCAGACTCAAACCTAAAGAGTAGACTTCTTATTTTATGATAGAAAGGACAAGCTCAGTGGAGCAGAGTGATGGATCAGTGGGGATACCAACAAAATCTTATCTCTCAAGGGACCTCTCAATACTTATTGCAATATCAGGTTACATTATACAAACAAGCTCTAGCAGTTTGTATAATGAGTTGGTCTCTGACTCAGTTAATTTCTTTTCAGAGTTTTACAGACCATTTCTAAAATAGCCTTAGTAAACTACATTCACTGGCTGGCCAGTTTCAACAGGTGATCACTAATTTAAAAATCACTGTCATGATATGGCCTTAGGTTGAAAAGCCATTGCATCTAAAAACCCACATAGGGGAAATCAGCGTTAACATCAAGTGAAGACTTCTATATTGGAAAGAAGAGATGCAACTGGCTAGACCTTGCTCTCTTATCTGCACTACGTTTGTGTAAACCGGCCTTGTCTCCCATTCGGTGTCCTGAAATACAAGATATGTAAGAGGCTGAGACTCAGTGCAGCACAAGAAAAACAAAACGACGATTAAATGCTTCCAAATTCCTTTAAGTTTTGCAGCAAATATTAGCAATTCTAGAATTAGGATTTTTACCACTTCTAACTGAGAGTCTAGCTTTAAAGGGGAAGGGGGGAGATGGTGTCAGGGAATCTCCATCCTCAAAGAACTTTGATGCATAAACAACAAAATCCAATCAATTTTTTTTTGTACCATTTTCAGTTCATTGGTTGGATTCCATTATTCCCTTCAATAGTGACAGGCTTATATTTGCTTCTGTGCAAAGTTCACAACTGCTGCTCTCTCACTGAAACACTACTGCCAGGAGCGGTAGCCTGGGCCGACTCTTTGAATGTTGGCAGGAGTAAAAATGGGGTGTTTGGGGCCCTTCAGGAAGGATATGTCTAGCCTTTAATAAAATGATTTGAGCTACAGAAAGAGTGGCACCAACATTGTGGTGAGGTGCAGATATGTTCATAACATCCAATGGCTGCCCCTGGGACTGTCAGAACAATTTGTTTCCATTTCAGCTTTATCTATTTCAACCAGCCAGGCTAAGGTTAAGTTGTTTGTTCCTGACATGTCTGCACAAAGTGATAAATGGAATCTAGTTATCAAGGCTAAATTGCAGAGCCTTAACGGGCAGTAGGTGCTGTCTGGAGTGTATTTGTAAGGCTAGGTCATATACAGTGATCTGAATTATGTCAGAGGCTTAGATGTTTTTGCATCAGCACTCCAAACTGACAGATCTGCTCTGTCTCACTCTGCAGCTTCAGTTTAGGGTTGAAGCAGAGACAGCCAATTGTGCTGAACTGTATCTTGACATTCTGTAGTTCTTTCTCTCATAGACTCACTATAGCATACTTGCAAAATCCTCTGAACTTTTTTAAAATATCAAGACCAAAAAAGGCAGGGCCCATTGTAGCCCTACCAACGTTCCTTTGGTTTAAACCAGGAATTCTCAAACTGGGGGTTGGAACCCCTCAGGGGGTCGCGACATCATTACAAGGGGGGTCATGAGCTGTCAACCTCCACCCCCAAACCCTGCTTGCTTCCAGCATTTATAATGGTGTTAAATATATTAAAAAGGGTGTTTGTTTTATTTGGGGAGGGGTCGCACTCAGAGGCTTGCGATGTGAAAGGGATCGCCAGTAAAAATGTTTGAGACCCACTGGTTTAAACTGTCTGTCACGTTTTACAGTAATGGCTTAACATGCATTGCTGAGTAATCCTAATGTCATCTTTTGTTACTGTAGTTAGGGAATCCCTTTTCTAACAATCATTCTACACAGCAGAATGCCATAATAGCTGATTGCCTCACAGGCTGTATTTATTCTTCATACCCCTGTGAGGAAGGGAAGTAACAATACCCCATTTTACTGATGAGGCGGTCTGGGTTAGAGCTGGAATTGAACGTAGATCTCCTTAACTATCAGACCATCCTTTTACCTATGCCAAAAGGTGTTATCCAGGGGTTCCCACCCAAAGTATTTTATAAGGACCACAGCCTGCTTCAACACAATATACTAATCAATTCATTTGTGTTTTGTCATCATGTTTACATCATTTTAGTTTACACAGGTATATAAATAGACAATACTGTACATAGGTTGTTTCTATCTAAATACACCTCTACCCCGATATAACGCTGTCCTCGGGAGCTAAAAAATCTTACCGCGTTATAGGTGAAACTGCGTTGTATCAAACTTCCTTTGATTCGCCGGAGTGCGCAGCCCCGCCCCCCTGGAGCGCTGCTTTACCTCATTATATCCGAATGCATGTTATATCGGGTCGCGTTATATCGGGGTAGAGGTGTACATACAAAACAAGCTGAACTTAAAATATAAATCAATACAGGTGACTTTAAATCTTATTAAAATATGTAGAATCAGTTTGGCCCATACAAGGTTGTGCTTAATTTTAAGAAGTGGGCTGTAGTCCACGAAAGCTTATGCTCTAATAAATTTGTTAGTCTCTAAGGTGCCACAAGTACTCCTGTTCTTCTTTTTGCGGATACAGACTAACACAGCTGTTACTCTGAAACCTTAATTTTATGTAGCTCTCCTGTATAATAAGGTTGGGCACCACTGGCTGACTCCTTCTTCTTCTTCTTCTTCTTCTTCTTCTTAACTCTCCCTCCCCTCTCCTTGGAATCTATCCAGCAGCTGGAATAATTCTTTCTTCCTCCTCTTATTTCCAGAAATGTCTTACCTGCCGGACTTGGAGCTCTTCACCATGGGGATGTGGTCTATCGGCCTTGGGGCTATTGGCGTAGCTGTGACAGGGATTCTTCTTGCTAACACTGACTTGTTTCTCTCCAAACCGGAGGCAGCCTCGTTGGAGTTTTTAGAGACAACCGAGCTAAAATCTCTGGGAGAAGGTAAGAATTGGATTCCTCTGGAAATCTGAGCTCACACTCTACATGGAGTTTATAAAAGTACCTAGGTAGAGCTAATCTTACCGTTTAAGGCCAGGGTTGAAAACAAAGGTTCCTAGGACAAGTGGAGTATGTTTGGAAGAGATAGTTGTCCCAGGCTAGACCCTATCTATTAGCAGGTCAGGGAGGGCATCAAACCACTCTTGTCTTTCCCTGCTTCAGTAAATGGTGTGGGAAGTAGCTGACTCTTCTTGAGAGGGGAAGGATGGTTTTGAAGTGACAGACCTCTCTGAAAAATAAGATGCATCTAATTTTGAGTTAATGGCTGCCAGATGAATGATGATATTACTCAGCTCTTATTTAGCACTCTTCATCCATATATCTCAAAGCACTTTACAAAAGAGATCAGTATTATTATCCTCATTTTACAGATAGGGAAATTGAGGCACAGAGAGGTGAAGTGACTTGCCCAGGGTCAACTAGCAGGCCAATGGCAGAGCTGGGAATAGAATCAGGCCTCCTAAATCCCATCCGGTGCTCTCTTCATTAGGCCATGTGGCCGCCTCTACAGATTCCCTGTTTCTGTGTCGTCTTTTGCAGACTCCGCTGCTTTCTGATCATTCTTCATGTCAGCTAGATAATTTTTCTGCCTAACATACAAAATGTTTTTTCCTGTTGATTTGCTTATTTCACAAAGAGCACTTTTTTCCAGCCTGTCCAAACCATCACATGCCCGATGATAGGATAGGGATTGGCAGCCTTTGGCCCGCGGCCAGTGGGAGCCGCAATTGGCTGAACTTGTGGACGTGACAAGTAAACAAATTGGCCCGCCAGGGTGCTTACCCTGGTGGGCTGCGGGCCAAAGGTTGCCGATTCCTGTGATAGGAGCTAAAGGGTGAAAACAGACTCGGAGTAAACATAAACAAAAAATTAAAACCTTTCCCCAAGGTGCTGTGCAGTTTAATTCTATTACAAAAGCCCAAAACAAGGTGGAGAATTATTCAGGTGTGCAAAGTCACATGCAGGAGTCAATAAAGGTTAAAACAGAGAATGCCTCTTTAGAGTTTTCAATATCATTAATATTGCCTGTTACTCCAGGGTGGGGGGAAAAAGTCAAGTGAACACATTGACCCCTAATTCACAGATGTACACAGGAGGACTGAAAGAGGATGTTTTGTGCTTGAGCGGGAAGTAACTTATACACCATAATGTTATGTCCAGACATAAGGCCTGATTCTGCATTGCTTACATTTGACTGTTGAGTTCAGTAGAGTTATAGTAGCACAAAACTTGTATAACACCGTGGAAAATCTGAAAATGAGAGGGGTTTCATTCTATGGCACAAACTGATGGGCTGCTGTTTGTGGCAATAGCTCTTGTTTCAGAACATAAGCAATATTATTCAAAACGTGCACCACTAGTAAATACAATTGGAGGCATCCAAGCAGGGGACGGAAAGTTAGGATGTTTGGCAGAGCTGGGAGCTGACTCCCATGTGCAAAACTAGAGATGACCATTCGTACCTGTTTTTGAAAATTGCTATAAATTCAGGCATCTTAATAAAACTGATACTTTAAAATGGACTTTTTATATACATTTAATTGGAATTTAAATACACTTTGAAAATCTCCCCTTCTGTCTTGATTAGAATATAAACCCAAATGGAATACTGAACTGGGAATCTTTCACCATGCTTAGTGTTCTTCATCAGAAGTTGTAGTTATGTAAATAGATGCCATAATTCATGCTATTTCTCCCTTATAAGCAGAAGAGAGAACATTCAAGGCAGGTGAGCTATGGAAGAAGAATGGTGCAGTGATCATGGCTGTGCGGAGACCTGGATGCTTTTTGTGCAGAGAGGTATTGTGATGGGCTTGGGGGTTAATTCAGAGAGTTTTGCTCTAGTTACGTGTCTTTGTGTTAGATGTGGCCAGGGAGGCAGTCAGCTAACGCACGAGTTTTGCATATCTGAAAATCTTGTTTCCAATCCCAGATTTGCTCCCACGTGAAAATGAGCTTCGTTTATCTCTGTCTCCATTTGTCAATATTATGGGCTAAATTCTCAGCTGGTGTAAATCAGCATACATCCATTGCGTCATGGGGTTATGCTGATTTACACGGGATGAGAATCTGGCCCCACAGATCCAAAATAAATTTGGCTAGATAGGTGGTCTGTGATCAAGAGAAGCCCAGAAACGGACTAGCAGGAATCTTGCAGGTACTACAGCAGCGTTGCATGGGAGGGGGAAACCTCTATCACCAACTTGCTCAAGTCAGTGTTTCATTTAATCCTGGAGATTAAAGTCATTCTTTCAAAGGGAGGAAGGAAAAGCCTGCTGTTCACAATCTGTTCGATACTCTACTGAATGTAAAACCTGCCTTATATTTTGGTCACTTATTAGGCTATTTCCACCTTAGCAATTATGTTATTACTCACCAATTAATAAAACAGAGCAATTAGTCTAGCAACCATTTAATTATAGGATCTACTTAGTCCCTACATCATAGTATTTCAATCTGTTGCTTAGTCCCTACGCTACATAATATTGGAAAGCGTTGTATGCTTCAGTGAATTTAGTTCTCATGGAAAGAGACAGACAGATTGAAATACTATGATCATGGAACACGTCCTTACTGCTGGGGGGATTCTGTGGGACAAAATGTGCCATGCCCCTCCCTCCCCTCTTCTCTCCCCCCACCCACCCCCCGGCAGATTTGTGTGTTTCCCATCATAAAATGGCAGGGAAGCAAAGGGAAACGGTGGGGTGGGTGGCAACCATGGGTGCAGTTTTTTTGGGGGATTGCCCCCTCCAAACAGAGGCAAAGCAGGGGGGGGGGCACATGGGTGTTACATGCCACTTCCCCCCCATTCTGCAAAGGCAGAGCTGCCCAGCTGAAGGAGGCTGTGTCTCTGCTCCACTGACTCTGCAGCTGAACTCCTCCTCCTGGGTCCTAGTGCCAGTTGTGCTCCCCTTCTGTGTGCTGGGAGCTTTCCTGTTTTCTATTCTGTGCATCAGTTAGTGCCCGCGGTGGGGCTGGATACGGGGTGGATGGGGGGGGAAGAGGCAGTGGAGAAGGAAGTGGGGGTGGAATAGGGCAGGTGGGAGGGGAATGTGGGAGTGAGGGGAGGGGGATGGAGAAGAAAAGGGGATAGGGCGGGGGGAAGTGGGAGCCCACCATGTGGCATCCCCTCGGCAGCAGCTGCGGCTCCCCCATTAAGCAGGCCCATCGAACCCTCACCCTGACAAGCCCTACCCCCCCTACACCTGGACCCCGCTGAGCCCCAACCATCTTCATCTGGGTCCCCTGCAGAGTACCATTGCCCCTGCACCCTGAACATCCCAACGAGCCTCTGTGCATCCAGATCTCCCACTGAGCCACCCACACCCAGATTGCCCCACACAGACACCTCTCACCCCATACCTGGATCCCCCCACACTAAGCCCCTCCACACTTGGATCCTGCTGGGCTGAGCCTGCCCACCCACACCTGGCGCAGAGGGACAGAGCCCCGGGGCATTTCTGGGGCAGGCCCAGCCCTTGCACTGTGTGAGGATCAGGTTCAGCCTCCCAGCCAAGTCTCTGTATTGTGGGGAGGTGAGGGCTTCAAGGTGATCTCCCACCTCAGTGCAGCCAGTGGCCTGTGCTCCCCACTACTGTGCTGGAGCCACATTTATTTATTGACAAAATTTCCAGAATTTTGCAGAATTTTAAAATATTGTGTGCATAACTTTTAATTTTTGGTGCAGAATTCCCTCAGGAGTAACAGGTAGTGTGCAGGGAGGGATAGAGTAAGCTCCACCCCCCTCACACCCATTGCCTCAACTGTGGACCTCAATTCTGAACTGGAGGGGACCACCACTAGGGAGTGCCACACTCCCTGTCACCCTGGGGGGAAGGGGGAGAGATTTTTCAAAGACATAAAAGACAGTTAGGTACCCAGCTACCACTGACTTGTGCCTTTGAGAATCTCTTCCTTAATCTTTGCCTTCTCTGGTGAGATGGCCAACGGTGGTTTCAGTTGTAGTGGTGGGATTGTGTAGAAGAGATGTGGATACTTGTCTTTCCACAAGGATTGGGGCTAAGACCAGCCGTTTGCTTCACACAGGTCCCAAGCTGTGGGCCATCAGGTGGCAACAGCATGATGTAGTGACACTATGGGCCTCCCCCTTAGAGGTGGCGAGAACCCACAAATCCCATTGAAATTAGTGCTCTGAGAATTGGGCCGTGTGGACTTGGAGTAGAGTTGAGCCAGTGACCTAGAGGGGAAAAGCTCTGTATACCATCATGTATCCCCTAAACCGTCCAGTCCCCTGACAATAAGCAGTCTTCACTGTATTAAATTGTACTTCTTTTAACCAAGTTTTAATATGAATCTTAAAAATATCTATGTAAACGTGAGGGAGCAGGTTGCCAACTTAGGAGGAAAAGTCGGTGATCTGAGACTAACTCACTGTCAGTCTCTTGCTGCTCTTTCTACCTTGTTTCAGAGTAGCAGCCGTGTTAGTCTGTATCCGCAAAAAGAACAGGAGTACTTGTGCCACCTTGGAGACTAACAAATTTATTACAGCCCACTTCTTCTTTCTCCCACCAACTCCTTGTGGTTCTCACTAGGGGCACTGGGGAGAAGCTTATCCTTGAGATAGACGTAGAAGAGAAAACTACTGTTTAACCAGTGGTTTTGCTAGGGTTACCATATTTCAACAATCAAAAAAGAGGACGTGGGGTGCTGCCCTAGCCCTGCCCCCTCCCACTTCCTGCCCCCCTCAGAATCCCCCTACCCGTCCCCCTCCCCACCCTAACTGCCCCCAGGACCCCACCCCCTATCTAAGTCTCCCCGTTCCCTGTCCCCTGACTGCCCCAACCGCTTT